GACCTCTTAGCTTGTTTATGTATAACTCTTTGCATCTTGAACTCATCATTCCTCATCTAAAGCATCTCACTGGAATCTAGATTTCTTGCCATCCATTTCTTTTTTGCTAAATTTGTGAACTCCTCAAACATTCTCTGTGTTTTGGATGAAGGCTTTGGGTTTGGTGGTTAACTCATCTTTCTGTTGATTATCTCAGAATCCACTGGCCACCAAGCAAGTTATAGATGACGATGGATGGTTCAATACTGGAGATATGGGTTGGATTGCTCCTAAGCACTCAGCAGGACGGAGTCGTAGCTGTGGAGGTGTCCTCGTTCTTGAAGGCCGTGCCAAGGACACAATTGTACTTTCCACAGGTATATCACACTTTTACACTTTGTTGTTGTCAGACACCTCATAAACTGGTTCCTCGGAAACCTGAGCTTAAAACACTGGAAGTCTTAACAACAAAATAAACCTCTCGGTTCAAAGATGTGAATTGAAACCACCTTGCTGCAAAAATATTGTTAAAAATGTATGATAGCAGCTTGATCGTTGTAGGTGAAAATGTGGAACCATTGGAGATTGAAGAAGCAGCCATGAGAAGCAATTTGATTCAACAGATAGTGGTTATTGGACAGGTACCTGTTGGAGACTTTGATATAGGAACAATGGTATGGGATGTTTCACTGATTTAATCTTCGAATTTGATGCATGCTTGATCTTTCGTTCTCAGGATCAGCGCCGCCTTGGAGCTATTATTATCCCAAACAAAGAAGCAGCAGAAGAAGCAGCAAAGCAGAAAATTTCACCTGTAGATCCTGAAGTCAACGAGCTTAGCAAGGAGACGATAACGAGCATGGTCTACGAAGAACTGAGGAAATGGTAAAGATTCAAACCAAGTATTACTCTTTGAGCGTCTAAATCCCTCTCTGAAATGTAGGAGTAAGTTAAGTGTAAACTTATATAAAACCATGATGCAGGACGTCACAATGCTCGTTCCAAGTTGGACCGGTTCTGATCGTTGATGAGCCCTTCACGGTATGTTCTTTTGTTCTGCTTCTCATTCATAATCCCTTTACTTGCGACTCAAAGTATCCAGTCCTCATGTGAACGTTCTGTGAATATCTCCTTACAGATCGACAACGGTTTAATGACACCAACAATGAAAATAAGACGGGACAAGGTGGTTGATCAGTACAAGAGCGAAATAGAAAGACTTTACAAGTAGACTTTAGACATTTTTAGCATCCTCTTTATTTTGCATTTACCTTTTTATTAAGGATTAGCAAATGTGGACCAGGTTCTTACCCCATTGTTAATAAAAGCTGCAAATATCGGTTTACGCCAATAACAAAAGCACACCATTTCATGGAAAAATAAGAGTCTTTTAAAGCTTATGCTTATTGGATCCTCTTGGCTAAGTGACCCTGATAACTAATCTCACTACGACTCTACGGACTAATGGAACTGAAATTTTGAGAAGAACAACTAAACCGGTAAAAGCAAAAGTACGTTGAAGGCTTTGAGGTAAAATGTAGTTACGCAAATAAACAAAAATATCTGACTAATACAGTCGAGAGATATACTTCACGTTCACGGGCTAGGATAACACTAGGAAGTGAACAAACATAACCGGAAACGTAGCCATGAGAGATGAACCACGTGGCACCATTATAGTATCTCCACCGCCAAAGCCGAGAAACAAAGCTTTGAGATATCTTAACATTATTATGTGTTATAGAGAAATGATAGTGTAGTTGTTGATTCAATAATGTAACATTCTTAAATATCTTTAAGATTATGTGTTTGTTTTATTAGATTAGGTTTCAAACTAGAATATGCCACCCTTTCTACATAAACATATATTATCTTTTCAAGCCAAAAGCAGCAAATTAGTTCATGTTTAAGAAGAAATGATTGGGTTATATTTCTTGCTAAGATCCGACAGAAAAATATTCCTAGCTAAGATTTTTTTAAGGATATAAACTTAATATAAAGTATAAACTAAAGACCATATGTTTGCGTTAATTTACTCCAACTTGGAAAATATATGTAAATATAAATACAATCCAATATGCAACAGCTTGATAGTGGAAAACATAGAAACATGGATATGGGAACGGAAGTAGCGTTGAAAAGCCAAGGGGAAGGTTGCTGCAAGAGCGGACCGGGTCATGCCTCGCCTCTTCTCGCCATGTCTGGTCCACGAGAGGAACTCATTTATGTTGCTGCCATATACACCGGTAAAACTCTTTATACATATATCTTGAGTGTGAAGATCAAGTACTGTCATTAAGATTTGGCGTTGAACTTCACTGTGCCGGCTCCATATATACAGGAACTGGACAAGCGAAGCCAGATTACTTAGCTACGGTCGATGTGGAACCAAGTTCATCGACATACGCTTGTGTCATCCACAGATTACCTATGCCTTTTCTTGGAGATGAACTTCATCATTCAGGCTGGAACTCTTGTAGCTCTTGCTATGGTGATCCTTCTTGCGAAAGACGTTATCTCATCTTGCCTTCTCTTCTGTAAGATACTGAACAACATCTCTCCTCAGTTTCTGGTTCATCTGAAAAGTTCTCATGTATTGTATTCTCGTGTCTCACACATGTTGGAAAAGGTCTGGTCGTATCTACGTTATAGATACGAAAACAAACCCTAGGGAACCATTTCTTTATAAATTTTTGGAGCCAGCGGAGGTTTTGGAGAAGACGGGGTTGGCTTATCCGCATCAACCTCATTGCTTAACTTCCGGAGACGTTCTTGTGTCTTGTCTTGGGGACGAAGATGGAAACGCAGAAGGCAGTGGGTTTCTCTTACTCGATTCCGAGTTTAATATAAAAGGAAGGTAACTTCGAGGAGAACAGATTTGTACTAATGTTTCTTAGGCGAGAAGAAAGAAGAACAAAACCTATTATCTCGCTTAGGGTTCTTTGAGTAACAGCTATTTAAATTTCTTTTAATAGGTGGGAGAAGGATGGAAACAGCCCTTTGTATGGGTATGATTTCTGGTACCAACCTCGGCACAAGACGATGATTAGTACCTCTTGGGGAGCACCAGCCGCGTTTACCAAAGGTTTTGACCTCAAGGACGTCTCTGATGGCTTGTATGGAAAGCATCTACATGTTTATAGTTGGCCTGAAGGAGAGTTGAAACAGATACTTGACCTTGGAGATACAGGACTTTTACCCTTAGAGGTAAACTCTAATCTTGCAAACCTCGGCCTATATAACTTTCTTCTTCCACAAGAAACTGCATCATCCTCCTCTGTTTTGGTTTGCAGGTAAGATTCTTGCACAACCCGGATAAAGCTACGGGATTTGCAGGGTGTGCGTTATCTAGTACTATTGTAAGATTTTTCAAGAACGAAGATGAAACATGGAGCCACGAGGTATATAATGAATCTTCTCTACTTATTATTCTTCATTTCTTTTGGTTCTGATCCCAACAACAAACAACCTCTCCAATATTATAAGGTGGCTATATCAGTGGAACCTCTGAAAGTTGAGAACTGGATTCTCCCAGAAATGCCAGGGCTTATCACTGACTTCTTAATCTCACTTGACGACCGGTTCCTCTATTTTTCCAACTGGCTTCATGGAGATATTCGCCAGTACAACATCGAGGACCCGAAAACCCCTGTTTTAACCGGTCAACTACATGTAGGTGGGCTAGTACAAAAGGGAAGCCCTGTCTTTGCCTTGGGAGAAGATGGGAACATGTTTCAGTTCGATGTCCCTAAGATCAAGGTCCGTTGAAGAAAGTACAGATAATGTTACTTGTTATACACGCTATTGTAATGATCGGTGTTTTGTTTATTGTGTGAAGGGTCAGCGTCTAAGAGGAGGTCCTCAAATGTTTCAGTTGAGCCTAGATGGGAAGCGATTATACGTAACAAACTCGCTGTTTAGCGTTTGGGACAGACAGTTTTACCCAGAACTTGTGGAGGAAGGCTCACACATGTTACAAATTGATGTTGATACAGACAAAGGTGGTCTCTCCATAAACCCTAACTTCTTCGTCGACTTTGGGTCCGAACCAGATGGTCCTGCGCTGGCTCACGAGATGAGATATCCTGGTGGTGACTGCACCTCCGATATATGGGTTTAGTTGGGTTGTTTCACTGGAACAGAACACCTTTTTTATAATGGGTTATGTGTGATCACTAAATTAATAAATGTTGATACATGAGATGATTTAAAATACACTTAGAGCAACATTATTGGGAGGATTTAAAGATGATTTAAAGGTAAGATTCACCAAAGAGAGTATGTTATATATAACTTTTGTTTTGAACAATGATGTGAATTTATTGATGCTTTGGTGTGAAGCGAAATAAGAGCGTGTGGGTCAAAATAGAGGAAACAGCTCAGCTGATGTAGTAGTTGGGGTTGTTTGTTGGAACTTGTTTGGTGGCATTTACACTAACTCCTTAATGATGCTTTTTTACCGCCTAACCCCACACATTTAATCATAATGACCGCCGGAATTATTTACTTTTTCCATACAACTTAAAAGTATTTTAATTAAATCACCACAAAAACATGTTTAATTTTATATAATTGTTTGAATGACGGTAAATTAAATATAAATATTTTAATTTGATAGTTATAAAGATTTATTGAAAGTAATTTAAATATGATTACGATTAGTGACACAAAACTGTATAAGATTATCAAATAAATACGAAACACACTTGTAATAAAAAAATATATATATCAAAAATAACAGTTAAAAAGCAGTGATGATTTTAAACAATGTTATATTAGTTATGTGATTACTGATAAGTAACATTTTACCAATCAAATCTCTGATATTAAATTTATATTTGGAAAAAAACAAAACTTAAATGTGAATTCTCAAAGAAACCAAGTGGACCACCAATAAAGATTTTTTAAAAATTGATACCCAATGAGAAAAAAGAAAATTATTTTATTTAATTAAATACATGATGTTACAATTCAGTTGAACTCTATCCATCTTTAAACCGAACCGGTTTAACTCCCCTAAGAAGCGCTACTTGGAGTTGCCGTCGTAACAACAACACAGAGACATCATAAAATTTTCACACACCGACAATGTCGAGATCCTTAGCTGCTCTTGTTTACTTATCCATACTTTGCCTTCAAACCCATCTCTCTATCTCCGCCACGGTTCCGGTTCCTTCCGTGAACGGCGAAATCGACGCAATGCTGAACCGGGGCGGCGTAATCGGAGAGGAGGAAGGAGAAGAGGAGATGATGATGCCGTCGGAGATTAGTCGGAGAGTGATGATGATGCGGAAACGGTATATAAGCTACGAAACATTGAGGAGAGACATGGTTCCTTGTCAGAAACCAGGTGCTTCTTACTACGCTTGTCGCTCTGGTCAGGCTAATTCTTACAACAGAGGATGTAGCATCATTACTAGGTGTGCTAGAGACACTAACGATATCAAGACTTGATAACATTTTGCTGTTGTTGTTGTCTTTGAAGGACATCTGAGTTTGAAATGGAGATGCTATGAAGATGCTCTCTTATTATTTTTACTGTGTTTGTTTGTTGTTTGTAATGTTGTTGGTTATGTTTGAATAGTGATATGTGATTTTGTATGATTTTGGCTATAATTGATATCTATATTCTTGGAAAGTGTTGATTTTGGAGTGATACAGATGGAAGATTTGTTGAAATTGTAGGATAAAGTTTGGGTTTTTAAGCTTTTGTTCAAGGTACTTATGATCCAAATTTAGAAGTTTATGGCATTGTTTGTGATGAATTGGGATGATTCTTATGTAGTTTTTAGTGGGAAATTTTGGATTTTTAGAATGGAGTTAGATCTTTTGATGGGGTTAGGTACTTATAATGTTGCTAAAGAGAAGACCTTGCTTACTTCTCGGATTTAGTAAAGGTAGCTGAGTTTGGTTGTTGTTGTAAAGTTCAAGAACTTGACTCTTGAATTGCTCAATTGAACTCAATTTGTGTAAAGCATAAAGAGTTTCAGCTGACTGTTGGTTGTTAAGATGATTCAGAGAAGGGATCAGTTTACTTCATGTTGTGTGACTCAAACTAATAATTTGTTATCAAGACTCTTCGGTAAGCTTGCTTATCATGTCCATTGCCATCAGCCCTTTTCCTTAAATAAATCTAAAACTACTCACAAGCAAGCATCAGTATCATCTTGGATAGGTGGATCACCACGAAATAGGCCAATCCCAACGCCATAAAAAGAATGCAAGATGAAGTAGCTCTTTTGCTCTTGACGTGCAGTTATCAGGGTCTACTAAGAGAACATTGTAAGACATATTCTCTAATCCTTTGAGAACTTTGATGACCTTTTGAGTTTAGCATCAAATTTATATATAAACGTGTATCATCTTCATCTTCATCTTTATCATCATCTTTATGTAGCAGGATTGCCGTATGAGACCAGAAGATCATGCCCATTAACATACTAGTAAGTCTCATAACATTTTTCATAAGCTTGCATTACAAGCATGATTCAAACTTAGTATACAATTCAAAGAAGCATATCCAATATATGAAGTCGAAAATAGCTTTACGTATTTTGTTTTCTCTTTTGTTCGAAAAGTAAACAGAACAAAGCATAAATAAGCCTAACGATAGTATAATCCAGAAGCTAATTTTAGTTGAGATATATAAAAATAGAGAAATAAGAAAACCAAAAAAAACAGCCTTTCAAAAAAACCAAGAACAACCTCTTATTCATACCAATATTTTGGTCACCTTGATCAAAGGACCAATATCTCATATTACCCCGACCAGACCAGATCCAACCCGACTCAAACAATAGCCAACAAACGGCTTAATCATAAAACCATACGAACCCTTGGTGTAAGAACCAATCCCTGGCTCTTTATCCTCTCAGTACCTGTAGTGAACAGGCTTGTAAGGACCTTCAATGGGTATGCTGACATAGTCAGATTGGTCTTTGCTAAGCTTGGTGAGTCTGGCACCTAGCTTGCCCAAATGAAGTGCAGCTACCTTCTCATCCAAGTGCTTAGGCAAAACATACACCTTCTTCTCGTACTTCCCGCTAGACTTCTCATTCCAAAGCTCAAGCTGTGCAATCACCTGGTTGGTGAACGAGCACGACATCACGAAACTCGGGTGTCCAGTGGCGCATCCCAAGTTCATCAAACGACCTTCAGCTAGAATAATGATGCCAGACTTGGTGTCTGGAAACACCCACCTATCAGTCTGCGGCTTGATGGTGATACGTTTCACACCAGGGAAGGTCTCTAGCCCGAGCATGTCGATTTCGTTGTCAAAATGACCAATGTTGCAAACAATGGCATTGTTCTTCATCTTCCTCATATGGTCAACCATAATAATATCTTTGTTTCCAGTTGTGGTGACAAAGATATCAGCTTCTGAGAGAACATCCTCAAGAGTTAGAACTTGAAGACCTTCCATAAGAGCCTGAAGGGCACAGATTGGATCAATCTCAGTCACAATGACACGAGCACCAGCTGTTTTCATGGCTGCAGCACAACCTTTTCCAACATCACCATAACCACAGATAACAGCGACCTTTCCGGCAATCATAACATCAGTAGCCCTCATGAGACCGTCTGGTAGAGAGTGACGGCATCCATACAAGTTGTCAAACTGTAAAACAAACAAATCATCAGTGAAACAGAGAAAAACAGAGGAAAAAAACAGAACATACGTAAACATAATTGAGTACTCTTCAATCATTAACAATGTCATCCACATTTTGGTAATATAAACATTGCATTATCCACAAACTAGACAAAACAGTATCAGATCTAGTCTTCTAAAGCTATAATGTGACACATATACATCAGAATTAGCAATTACCTTGCTCTTGGTGACAGAGTCATTAACGTTAATGGCAGGGAACAAGAGAGTTCCAGTCTCCTGCATCTGATAAAGCCTCTTAACACCAGTGGTAGTCTCCTCAGAAACACCAACCAATCTCTCCTTCATCTTATGGTACTTCTTAGGATCAACTTGAAGACCATCTTTGATAATGGACAACACGATCTGAAACTCGGGGTTATCTGTTGATGTCGGGTCAGGGAACGTACCATTCTTGGCAAAGATCTCTTCAGCTTTAACACCCTCATGGATCAACAAAGTAGCATCACCACCGTCGTCAACGATGAGATCAGGACCACCACCAGGACCCCAGTCAAGAGCTCTCTCAGTACACCACCAGTACTCTTGAAGAGTCTCACCTTTCCAAGCGAACACGGCGGCGGAATCACGAGCAATGGCGGCTGCGGCGTGGTCTTGAGTTGAGAAGATGTTGCAAGAACACCATCTCACCTCAGCGCCAAGAGCGGTTAAGGTTTCGATCAACACGGCGGTTTGGATCGTCATGTGGAGTGAACCGGTGATTCTTGCTCCTTTGAGTGGCTGAGATGGTCCGAACTCGGTACGGCAAGAGACGAGTCCAGGCATTTCGACTTCGGCTAGCTCGATTTCGAGACGGCCGAAGTCGGCTTGAGACATGTCTTTGACCTTGTACTCACGGCCACTTGAGGTTTTCTCAACGAGCAACGCCATCTCTGAAGTTTTGTTTTCTTGAAAATGTGGATTCTTTGAGAGATGGGTGTGATGTGGGAGGAGACAGGGGAAGGTTAGGGAGTGTGGTTATATAGATAAAGGCGGGAGTGAGATGAACGGTTGAGATTAGTTGTAGAGAGAGTTTGGTGGATCTGGTAAAAGACATTGACTTTTCATCCTTTTTTTTTTTTAAGATTTTCCGAAAAGAGTGACAATTCTGTTTTGATTACCAGTAAAAAAAAATTCTTAATTATACAAATCAATCAATAAAATTTGGTTACAAATAAACAGGAACAAGAAAAAAAAATTATGGATCAGAAATAATCAGTCTGATATTTTCATATGAAAATTAAACTAATTTTTGTTTTGTGTTTTTTCATCACTAATTTTTTTTAAAGTACATAAAAATTAGGTTTAAATTTGTTTAAGCTCCGCTCCTGCCGTTTAAGGAAACTTTTTGCCATTTCATATGAAAATAGCAAGTCGAATGTTCAAAAATCTTTAGACGATCAAGTTTAACTAGGAATCTTAACAAAAAGACCCAAACAAAAAAAAAAGTTTAACTAGGAAACTAACAGATTAAACACGTTATTCATTATACACTACATTACTACTAACAGAATAATTAGTGCAAAACTTGTTTACGTAAGAATATTATTTGAGGTATAAAAATCATAGCTAACAAGTAACAAATGACTTATCAAATGACATGCACGACCGAAGACCAAACATTAATCTTAAATGATACATTATATCAATATTAGAGACGTAATTTTATCATTTTAAGAGGATATGTTACATTAATATAAGAAGACTATAACTTATGGTGAATGATACAATACAGTCTCGGATGCATTGAGCTAATACAGCCACCAAACCAAGGCTTCATCATAGAAGTATAGAACTATAGGTTATTAGCAATAGCAGCATTTGTCGCAGGTCAGGATTTTGCTGTCATTCTTGATTAGATCTTCTAATTCGTCTGGTGTGGGTCACTAGTGTCGTTCTTCCATTATATCTCTGCCCTTTCACACCGATATTTTTCTTAAGAAACCGACCCCATTCATAGTTTTGTGTGTGTGAGTTTGTGTGGAAACTATAGTTATTATTGAATGTGTACGTACCTTATTCTTAAGCCAAGGAAATATTTTTGAGCGTCGGTGGCGAGTATATGTGCACCGGATTGTGGAAGAGCGTCGGTGGATCTGAATTAATATTACCCTACCAACAAAAATAGACATACAGTAAAACCTCTATAAATTAATAATGATGGGACCATTAAAATCTATTAATTTATAAAGGTATTAATTTATCGATAAATTAATAATTATTAATTTATAGAGAGATATTCCTAATTTAGAAAATATTTTCAAAACAATATTTAAAAATAAGATTTAATCATGATAAATAGTATTTTATATAATCAATTACAAATAAAACAGTAATTATTATGTATTAAAAGAGAATGCTAACTATTTTTCATATAGTAAAATATTAGAAATAAAATCTAACAAAAACTAATGTGTCTATATATACATATATTTTGAAAATTTTACCTAATTATTAATTTATAATATTGATGGGACCATATATTTACAAAGGATTTTCAAAAAATTATTATCTTATTATTTTATCGAAATGTGTCTAAAATTACACTGGTCCCAAATTGGGACCGGAGAAATTTATTAATTTATAGAGATTATTAATTTATCGAGTATTAATTTATAGAGGTTTTACTGTAATAATAAACTGCAGTGCAAAAATAAGGTGAACCCATTATTAAAACTATCCATTTTAATTTTATTTTGTGTGTTTCCCAAATATTTTGCAGTATTTTAAACTAGAAATGAGACGTTGCTAGTATACGAGCCATGCGAGTTTGTTCCTTTGATATTTTTGCAAGAGAGATATAAGTATATTAATTAGTTTAGGTAATTTTATATTAACATGGGAAATGTGAATAAGGTCAAAATTTATCGTTGAGAAAAGGGACACAAGTTCTACACTATCATACTTTTGTAAGAGATATACGTTTTCTTTGATCCAAGAACAAAAAAATAGCTTATGATAATCAAATCTTAATCAATAAACAATATGTATTCTTACCTAGAAACGAAAGAGAAAGAGTAAAAGTAGAAGAAAAAAAACAAAGTTCAAACATTG